AATTGAGCCAAATTTTTGGCAGCCTACTTCTTTTACTTAATCTTTTATTATGGTGTAATTTCTGGATTTTGCCATTTTTGGTAATTTTCCTATAATTTCGTATTTTGCAGCTATTTAACTCGGTTTGTGGGTTAATTTTGGTCGTTTTGCTTTACTAATAATATTGAGTTGATTTCATAGTATTTTCTCTGATTTTTTGGCCTTTTTCTTTCGTTTCTTTCTTGCGAATTATCTACTACAACAAGCCAATAGGATAATCACTATTCTACCTGACGTCAAGTAGTCTTCAATTGAAAGTTTTGCTACCGAAATGGAGGATACACGATGCTACATTAGCTTTAAATAATCTGCAAAGTCATTAAATCCCCGACTAGCATATCCCCATCATCAGCAACTATTGCCTCATTCACTTGAATTATCGAATTGTTCAGTTCATTGGCTATTTCCTGTTGCAGTTTTTTTTTCTTTGGGCCAAATTTTTGGCAGCCTACTTCTTTTACTTAATCTTTTATTATGGTGTAATTTCTGGATTTTGCTATTTTTGGTAATTTTCCTATAATTTCGTATTTTGCAGCTATTTAACTCGGCTTGTGAGTTAATTTTGGTCATTCTGCTTTACTAATAATATTGAGTTGATTTCATAGTATTTTCTCTGATTTTTTGGCTTTTTTCTTTCGTTTCTTTCTTGCGAATCATCTGCTACAACAAACCAATAGGATAATCACTATCTTACCCGACGTCAATTAGTCTTCAATTGAAAGTTTTGCTACCGAAATGGAGGATACACGATGCTACATTAGCTTTCAATAATCTGCAAAGTCATTAAATCCTCGACTAGCATATCCCCATCATCAACAACTATTGCCTCATTCACTTGAATTATCGAATTGTTTAGTTCATTGGCTATTTCCTGTTGCAGTTTTTTTTTTCTTTGGGCCAAATTTTTGGCAGCCTACTTCTTTTATTTAATCTTTTATTATGGTGTAATTTCTGGATTTTGCTATTTTTGGTAATTTTCCTATAATTTCGTATTTTGCAGCTATTTAACTCGGCTTGTGAGTTAATTTTGGTCATTCTGCTTTACTAATAATATTGAGTTGATTTCATAGTATTTTCTCTGATTTTTTGGCTTTTTTCTTTCGTTTCTTTCTTGCGAATCATCTGCTACAACAAACCAATAGGATAATCACTATCTTACCCGACGTCAATTAGTCTTCAATTGAAAGTTTTGCTACCGAAATGGAGGATACACGATGCTACATTAGCTTTCAATAATCTGCAAAGTCATTAAATCCTCGACTAGCATATCCCCATCATCAACAACTATTGCCTCATTCACTTGAATTATCGAATTGTTTAGTTCATTGGCTATTTCCTGTTGCAGTTTTTTTTTTCTTTGGGCCAAATTTTTGGCAGCCTACTTCTTTTATTTAATCTTTTATTATGGTGTAATTTCTGGATTTTGCCATTTTTGGTAATTTTCCTATAATTTCGTATTTTGCAGCTATTTAACTCGGTTTGTGGGTTAATTTTGGTCATTCTGTATTACTAATAATATTGAGTTGATTTCATAGTATTTTCTCTGGTTTTTTGGCCTTTTTCTTTCGTTTCTTTCTTGCAAATCGTCTGCTACAACAAGCCAATAGGATAATCACTATCCTACCTGACGTCAATTAGTCTTCAATTGAAAGTTTTGCTACCGAAATGGAGGATACATGATGCTACATTAGCTTTAAATAATCTGCAAAGTCATTAAATCCCCGACTAGCATATTCCCATCATCAGCAACTATTGCCTCATTCACTTGAATTATCGAATTGTTCAATTCATTGGCTATTTCCTGTTGCAGTTTTTTTTTCTTTGGCTTCTCTTACTTCTCTTTGCCAACGATGAGAAATACATTTGATTTTCGGATTAATTGATATCAATTCATCGTATCTCAAACTTGCATAAGAAGCCTAAAAGAGATACAATAGGAAAACTAAAATAAATTGATGTAGATAAATTAAATAAAAATACAAAAAAGTTTGAATTAGTGCCAAAATAACCGAGGTTGATTTGAGTTTCTTTTTTTTTTCCTTCATTTACTTCATTTTCTTTTTTCACGTTGATTTGAAAGGGGGGGGGGGGGGGGAAAAAAAGAAATTGTTACTATTTAATAATTGAACTTACAAATTTATCTTAATGGCCACTGAACTATGTGAAGTCCTACTACTTAGTAACTGAACTTAAAAATATATCTTAATGGACACTAAATTATGTACCATATTACCCATTAATCACTCAAGCTAACGTCGTTTGTTGAACCTAACAATTTTTTTCATTTAAGTGATTGATAAGTAAGAAGGCGCATAGTTCAGTCTTTAAATACATTTTTAAGTTCCGTTATAAAGTAGTAACATTAGAAAAAGTTTAGTAACCGTAAGATATATTTTTAAATTCAATTATTAAGTAGTAACTCTCGATAAGTTCAGTGACCATTTAAATAACTAATTCGAAATGAAATAGAGCAAATAAATTAAATATTATTATGTCATCGAATTTTTTATTGGACCTTCTGAATTTATTACACAATAATTGAAATAACTTTGACATCTATTTAATGTTCGAATAATATGAGAGCACCAAATTGTGTGTAAATTTTAGGGATGACAAAAAAAACCCGTCAAACCTGATACCCCGAGGTCCTGCTTAAAACGGGGCAAGAATTACCCACTTAATCAGATATTCGGGGTGGGTGCGAGTAACCACCGCCCAGCCCTATTAATTTTTTTTTAAGAATTCAATATTTTAAATGAAAAACTCCACGAAATTTCATTAATTTTCATAGAAGATGACGACTAATATTACCTAAGAAATATGGTAAACAATAAAAACCTTAGTTTACGAAATATATTCGAATAATTTAACTTTTAAAAATAAATTAATTAATTAAAAATTTTAATAACTATATTATTATCTGACTTTAATGAATGGTGGCAATAAAATGAACTAAAAAAAGGGTAAAGGCACTGTCCCATCCCGCCTTGCCTTAAACAAGTAACGAGGCAGGAAAATGTCTGACAAGGTGAGGGGCGGAGGAACCTACACTACCTGAACTCACCCCATTGCCATTCCTAATAAATTTTGAAAATACTTGTCAATTTGTTATGGTGTCATTTAAAAATTCAGACAAATGTACTCGTTAAATTTCATAGATGTAAGTTTAGATTTATAAGAGGTTCGAATTCCTTTCATCGTTTCTAAGTTGACATTGTCAATCCCTCAGAGTCAAAAGAAAATGAAATGAGATTGGAATTTTTGTTTTTTAAAATTTCATTCAAGCCAACCTCAGTTAAATTTTAAAAAAAAAAAAAGAAAAAGAAAGAAAGAGGTTATTAGCATTAGTATAAATCATCGTAATGAAAAATTAGAGTATTAAGATACATAAATAATTATAGATTGAAAACTTGTACAGGTAGAAACTCATTTGCATCAATTAGTGAATTTGGGAACTTGAATTGAATCCGACTAAACTAGAATCAGAATAGAACAGTTTGACTCCATAATTAAAGATGGAATCAATTGTTTCATTTTCAAAATATCCACTAATACTCGGTATTACAAGGTTCTCTTTGGAATTGGATTGAGCTGAAACGTGCCCACTTTTACTTATAAGCAGCATAAGCATAGAATGGAGGCCCAATGGGCCTTTCATAAGATTCACTAGAGGCATAGGCCCAGACTTTGGCATGAGTTTAGAACTATAATCAATGATCTTGAATTTAACTTTCATTTTCACCGATTTATAAAAAAATTACCTGTTAAATTTAATTTGATGTAATAAACCAGCCTATTTTAGAACGTTTGGAAAATATAACTAAAAGTAAATATTTTTCTCTCGCCTTTAACAACAATTTTAGAATAAAGTTTCATACAATAAATATTCATATAAATCCACAATTTCAATTGCTAAATAATTTTAATTGCATAAACAAATTGTTTGGTCTTTTCCAATCAAAACCCAAATTTAAAAATGATTTTAAAAATTAATTATATAAAATATATCAAATAATTTATTTTGTTTGAAAAGTAACAAAATATTTTGTTTTGTTTTCTGTATGAACAGTAATCTATCTATGCAGGGATTTTATTAGAAAAAACAAAAATAATGTTCGGTTTTTGCTGTTAAAAGATCAAGCCAAAAAAGTTTAAAAATCACAATATAAATGTGCATCTTAACAGTAATGGAGGGTTTTGCTTAAATCTTGCCTTTATAGTACATGTTGACTTCAAAAATTGTGCCAACAGATCTTGGTGCCCACTCATGTCCACGTGAGCAGTCTTGCTTTTGGGACAGGGCCAAAAACATGGCGCTCTCCTATTGGAGGGTGGGCTCCAGTTTTTGGGCATGTTCCAATGGCTTTTTCCCACGTGAGCAAATTCCAACACGTTGGGACTGAAAATTTGGTCGGACGCAAGATGTAACCGTTCGAGCACCGACGATAAGATCGAATATGAGAGTGAACAAACACAATCACGAAAAACTATACCAAAGTTTATGTAATCCAAACTCAAGCACAAATGAATAACAAGAGAGGAAAAATGTAATAATAAGCATATAAAGTTTGTATATATGTTTTCCAATCCAATATAATGTTACAAGAGTTGCTATTTATAACGTTCAAGCCGAAGTGGTCACCACTGAATCAGATCCACGTGGCTTCATCTAATAACCGAAATCTCACATCACTCTGTCGCACATTAATTACATTGACAAGGGATCAGCCGCCCTACACTCCTAGATTGACATGTTTGACACTTATTAATACAAGCGTTACATTGATCATTCCTAAAGATACGCATCAAACATGCATAAAGATAGCAAGCACCTCGGCTTTAAGAAGAAAAGCTTCGGATATGAAAAGGATCGGCTTCTAGGAGGAAGCGCTTCAACAAATGTACCCTGGATGGAGATAGCACTTCAGCTATAGAGTTGTTCTTACATTTTTTTTTTTTTATTTTGACTTGGTTGACTGCTAGATGTCTACATGTAGTGTCTCCACGTGACTTTCATTGGAAGCTTTATATATGAGGAGTAACAGTTCATATCCGCAACACATATATATAAATTTACAAGCATTTATTGTCTTTGCAAGATGGGCAACAAATAACAAATTAATAGAGATATGATGCAAATTTAGCTTGTGTTATTCACTTATAGCTAGTATGCTGGCCGGACCGGGCTGGACAGACGGGAGACTCAATTGGGAACACCAACGGCTAATCTTGCTCTCAAGTCCTTCCTCAATATTTTGCCTGACGGAGACTTGGGAATGGCATCAATGAAGAATACACGGTTCACTCTTTTGTAGAAAACCACCTGTTGATCATCACAACCTATTAGATTACTCAAATATTTCTTACATCTCAACAAACGTTAGAACAAGCAAGCGAAGCTTTCAATTTAGTGACTTCCTCCCTTTGACGGATTATTGCCAATAGAATCACAAAAAGCTAATTTTTCATTTCAAACAATGTGCTGATAAAACATTTAGGAACTGTATGAGAATACTAAAGTAGATAAATATGCGATAAGATTTGTCAGTTATCATGTCTTGTTTATCGTACCAAATTAACTTGTCATTATTTATCATACCAAATGAATAACAGTTTAAGCTTTTAAATGAACGGACCTGTTTTGAAACAAATTGCTTGATTTCATCCTCACTAATGGTGGAGGCATTTGATTTCACAACAAAAGCAACTGGGACTTCTCCTGCTTCCTCATCTTTCATTCTGATAAATAAGTATATAATATCAATTATAATCCAAAATTTTAAATTATAATAATTAAAATAAGAAAATTTATACTGAAACAGAGAACATACGGGACAACTGCTGCATCTGAAATATTGGGGTGGTTGAGTAAAAGGGCTTCAATTTCAGCTGGTGCAACTTGGAAACCTTTGTATTTGATAATCTCCTTCAAGCGATCAACGATGAAAAGCTCATCATCAGCATCAATTAACCCTATATCACCTGTGTGTAACCACCCTTCCTTGTCTATTGTTCTTTCTGTGGCCTCTGGATCATTTAGATAACCTGAAAAATCATGTACGAGGTTATCAGATGGAGAAAACACGTGCTTCAAGAAAAAGCGATGGAAAAATCTGTCATCGAAAGGACACTGTGGACGAATTTTTCAATCGTAGATGTTATTGTACTTATTGCATGTTTGTAAAAGTCAAGAAAAGGGAAAATTGAAGTATTCATTGTAATGACTAAATCTCCGTGATTAAGCTGTTAGCTCATACATGCTATTCGCTATGAGAGAACCTTTGTTCAATTTACCTTTCGGGACTTTCTTTTGCGTTCAATTTATATCAAGATTCAACTTAAGTCTCTCAAAATGCAGAGATCTTAAGTTCGAATCTTATGAGACGTAGAGAAATATGTGAAAAATAGAATAGATATGAACACTCCTAAAGCGAATAGTACATATGAAATCATAGCTTGGATATGGGCCCGGCTGCCAATGTTTAGAAATGAGGAAGTTGGTTTTCTAACTTTTAGTTGTGCGACCAAAATATACTGCCAAGATATTGTTCAAACAGTCGAGTTTTGAATTTGTGAATAAGCATCTTAATCATGTGGCACACGAAGAATACATTTTAATTGAAATTACAAGGAAGTCCGTACGTATTAGATTTTGTTATTATTTGCTTCTTCTTTTTTCCATCCCCGCCAACTTATATTCTTGTCGAATTATGTAAACGTTTTATTAAACTTAAAAAAAAAAAAAAAAAAAAAATTGTTTCTTGCACTTTACCCTTGGGTAGGTAAGCTAATTTAGACTAAAAACCAAAAATATTTATGTTGATATCTTATTAGTGCAAGGCCGCCTACTCCACATTTTTCACAATACTTTTAGTCTTTTACCAATTGATGTGTGACTCACAAATCACTTTGTTGATAATTCAATAATTGGTTGGGTAAAAATTGTTGTCCAAGAACTAAGAATATGGTGAAGGAGGATTAGTGGCGGATCCGAAAAATTATTCGAGACACGCCAGAAAAAATTGATCACACATAATTTTTTTTTTTATTATTATTTTTTTTACTTTTCTTTTTAATTCGCATTTGGGCCAAAGGGACAGGCTCTACCACAGCCCGGCCCATCCCTAGATCCGCCTATGAGGAGGATGATCGAAACATCCACATTCTTCTTGTACACAACAACACATGTTCACATGGACGTATAATCAGACCACAATCTATTTTAAAAAGCAACGTAAATCAAAATTATGTTATAACTATTGATGATTTGATTAATATCGAGTGGACATACCTTTCATGATTTGGTCGCCTCTAATGCAAATTTCTCCGGGCTCATTACGTCCCAAAGATGCAGCGGTTTCAGTGTCTACAATTTTCATCTCAGCATTTCTAACAACAGTCCCACATGCCCCCGATTTAATTTCAAAGGGTTCTTTGGCAAAAGCCAAGCACATTGCCAGAACTGGCCCTGCCTCAGTCATTCCATAACCCTGCAGTTCAATTCACATTATCTCTTATAAGTAAATTTTCATTTCAAATTGTGCTTATAAAGAAAAAAGAGTTACCTAGAATATTAATCATGTTTTCGTGAACATCTTCCTTATTTAAGAGTTAAAAATATATATTTTACGCAATACGTAACGAAAGTATTATACCTGACCAAGTTTGGCTTTCGAAAACTTGCTCCTAACAGCGTCTTCAAGCTCCCGGCCCAGCGGCGCAGCCCCGGACATCACCGTACGGACCGACGAAAGATCATACTTATCGCTCAGCATTTCTAACAACAGTCCCACATGCCCCCGATTTAATTTCAAAGGGTTCTTTGGCAAAAGCCAAGCACATTGCCAGAACCGGCCCTGCCTCAGTCATTCCATAACCCTGCAGTTCAATTCACATTATCTCTTATAAGTAAATTTTCATTTCAAATTGTGCTTATAAAGAAAAAAGAGTTACCTAGAAAATTAATCATGTTTTCGTGAACATCTTCCTTATTTAAGAGTTAAAAATATATATTTTACACAATACGTAACGAAAGTATTATACCTGACCAAGTTTGGCTTTCGCAAACTTGCTCCTAACAGCGTCTTCAAGCTCCCGGCCCAGCGGCGCAGCCCCGGACATCACCGTACGGACCGACGAAAGATCATACTTATCAACTAGTGGACTCTTAGCAATGGCCAAAACAATGGGTGGCACAAAGGGTCCAATCGTCACTTTATACTTTTGTATCAACTCTAGAAAGGGAACAATATCAAATTTCTGCATAATCAAAATTGCTGCACCAACTCTTAATCCACACAGCAGCACAGAATTCAATGAATATATGTGAAAAAGAGGCAAAACACACAGCATTACATCCTCACTATGGATGTACAAATTTGGATTTTCCCCATCAACTTGTTGAGCCACACTTGTCACAAGTCCCTTATGTGTAAGCATAACACCCTTCGGCAGCCCAGTCGTCCCGGAGGAATACGGCAGAGCCACCACGTCGTCGGGGTTGATCTTAACAGCCGGCATGTTATTTTCGTCGGCCTTAGTTAGGTCAGAAAACGGCAAAATCAAATTTCTGCATAATCAAAATTGCTGCACCAACTCTTAATCCACACAGCAGCACAGAATTCAATGAATATATGTGAAAAAGTGGCAAAACACACAGCATTACATCCTCACTATGGATGTACAAATTTGGATTTTCCCCATCAACTTGTTGAGCCACACTTGTCACAAGTCCCTTATGTGTAAGCATAACACCCTTCGGCAGCCCAGTCGTCCCGGAGGAATACGGCAGCGCCACCACGTCGTCGGGGTTGATCTTAACAGCCGGCATGTTATTTTCGTCGGCCTTAGTTAGGTCCGAAAACGGCAGGCAGCCTTCCGGTGGCTCGTCAATACACATTACTTTCACACCATTCTCTAATGCAAACTCTTTAACTTTTTCCACATAACATCCTTGTGTTATTATAAGCTTAGCGTTCGACGCCTTCGCTTGCTTCACGACCTCGGCCGGCTTGAAAAACGGGTTGGCCATAGTAGATAAGGCGCCACGATACGAAGCACCAAGGAAAGCGAATACAAATTCGGGTGAATTAGGAAGTAAAATCATGATGGTTTCACCTTGTTGTATGCCAATCTTGTTAAGCCCGGAAGCCACTTTTCGCGATATAAGCTCGACTTCCGCGTAAGTGTAGACCTCATTGGTGGCGCCATTGATCAAACATGGACGTGAACTGAACTGGGAAATGTTCTCAAAGCAATATGAATGCAAAGGGAGGTGTTTCGGGATGTAAATATCAGGGAGCTTTGATCTGAATATAATTTCTTCTTGCATTGTTTTAGTCTCCATTAATGAAAATTTATGAAACTTTTGAGGAAAAGTTCGAAGAAAATAAGGAAAAAAATGGGTGTTTCGATCCTGGAAATGGATGTTGAATGTGTAGGAATATAAATATGGATGTGTATTGGTGAAGGTAGAGGGAGGTGGTTGGTGAATGGGACTTGATGGGAATTTTGGGTTGTTCAGGGGTAAATTAGTGGATGATTAGATAATTATATGGTGCGGTTGGTGAGATAGAGAAAGACTAGGTGTTGGGGTGGGGTCCATTTGATTAGGTATTTGGGAGATTGGTTGAATGTTGACTTTCTAAAGATTGGAGACTTTTCCACGTAGGCTTTACCTACGCAAAGAGTGACGGAAGCGTTTGTTGACGGCCGATTAGACGGCGACGTTTTCACCTACTACCGTGTCTTTCCTAAATAAAATAAAAAATAAAAAAATTATGACGTTTCAAGCCCTTGTAGCCATTACAAGTTGGCACGAAATAATTAGAAAAGAATTAAAATTAATCTACTTATATAATCATAATTGACAATTTATGATATGACAATATCTAAACAGTTAATTTGAAAAATTGTTTTTAAAATTTCTTAAAATGAATGAATGTGATGATAATTGTCAATCATCATTGTACATATAATGAAAGATAAATATCAATTACAAAAGATAACATGTGTGGGCAAGGTTGCCCATAGTGGTCTGCAATTGAGGAGTTGATGACCTAGTCTGGTACACATATTTGAAAGGTTGTCCAAGTTAAGTTCAATAATTTTATAAATTGGTTGGTTCAAGCTCCTAATAGAATTAAATTAGGCCAAAATTTAAGACCGACCTTAAGGTTGTGCAGATAGTGCGATTGTACATGAATCCATAATTATAGGAGCACCATATGTATAAATAGCAAATTAATATAATAGTTCCATGTTTGAATTAAGCTCTTGTTTGAGCTCCATTTTGTTAGACCCGGATGAATTATAATTAATGAGATTAATGACACAATATGAAATAATAAAGATCACAACAAGAAACAAGTTTAAAAGTAAAGAAAAACAAAGAGAGTTAATTGCAGAAAAACTATGTACACCTAGCAAATTAATATAATAGTTCTATGTTTGAATTAAACCCTTGTTTGAGCCCCATTTTGTTGGACCCGAATGGATTGTAATGAATGAGAGAACTTCGACCGAAAAAGAATTTCATTTCCTATTCAACTTGGATATAATCTTCATTTCCAAGTAAAAAAATCAAATACGCAATCTCACAAGACTCCTAACTAAAGGTGGGTGCGGGTCAATTCGGTTCGATTCGCCGAACCGAACCGAAATTTTCGGGTATCTAGTAAATGAAACTGTCAGATCCAAATATAATTATGGAACTGTTCAGTTCGGTTCCGTACTATAATTAAATTTTTTAACATTTATAACAACATTATATAAGTATAACTAATGACACTTTCAATCGTAGTTTTACAAATTAGCATAGTCAAATTTAATAACATATAAATAACAAGTAGTTCAACAAGATTAATTTACCAATGCTTACAATTTACAAATACCAAAGAGTAGATACTAATACTGAAACTTCAATTATTCATCGATTACCTGACTTATCATACTCATTATTAAGAAACTTTGCAAGAAAAAATTGAAAAAACACAATTAAGTAATTAACGAATATAAAAAAATTCAAATTTGTTCAATTAATAAGATTTAATAAAAACAAATATAACATATATTTTATTACCTGTCTCAATGCCCTCATAGGTTGTTTTTAGTGAAATGATTCTGACCTCTCATTAGGCTTTTTTTGTCTTCCATTTGAGCATCCAGAATTGGTATCACCTTAACAAGAAACTTGATTAAATTCCGCACAAACAATGCGGAACAAAATCATCAAACACTAACGAATGATAGTTGTACCAATTGAACAGGAAGAAACAGCAAAACATTCTGGAAAATCTTTAAAGAGCACAAGCTAACTGCTAACGAATCTTATTAACATGATTAGCTGGCTATTTCTCCAATTTAGATGTTGCATACAAACATTTTAAAACCAATCTTATTAACTAATCTTATTAACATGATAAGTTGGCTATTTCTCCAATTTAGATGTTGCTTAGAAACCTACCAAAACTAGTCTTATTAACTAATCTTATTAACATGATTTAACCCCTTGAATTCAAGCTCTAAATAACTGCAATGGTTTTAAAACATTAGAGACTAGGAGACTATCTTGTTCAAATAATCGTTGCGGTCACAACTTCGGTCGGCAGAGGTTACGGCTTCGGTCAACAGTCACAGCTTCGATCGACGATTGTATAGATTTTGAAATATCAGGGAGGCTGCGAGAGTGAGTGCGAGAGTCGAGATAATGTTATGCAATTTAGTGTAGGTGTTTAGGGTTACTTAGTAGGTTGGATTATGTTGGGCTAAGAAATGAAACAATAAAATGGGTAATTGGGTCAAAAATTAAAAAAATTAGAAATGAAACAAATTATTGGGCCAAAAATTTGGATTTAGAAATTGTTAATTTGTTAAGAAAAAATTTCAATTAAAATAATTTGATTTATTCAATATAAAAAAAATTAGAAAGATTCGGTTCTTGGTCTAAAATCGAGAACCGAACCGTACCCGTCGGTTCTCAATTCAGATACACATTCGGGTATTTAATTTGACAAGAACTGTTGGGTTCGGTTCGGGAGATTTGCCCAGCCCTACTCGTAACCATATTTGAGTCACAAAACTTAACAATCTCCACATTGACTCAAATTCCCGTGTAACGAGCGGAGTTCCAAAAAATTTCTCCACCTGAGAAATAAATTCATTTGGGTCAAAATGAAATGGCAAATCTCCTCACGCAATAATTAAAACTCTCCATATAAACTATCGTTCTCTATATAGCGTCTACAAGCGACACCTAAACTTTATTCTAGGGTTTCCAAAATTCCACCGAAGAATTAATGTTTACCAAGCAGGAGTTGAAGCACACTCTATAGTAGAAACCATACAAAATGCGTGAACAGAAAGAGAATTGTAATGAATGCCCTTGTTTGAGCCCCATTTTGTTGGACCCGAATGGATTGTAATGAATGAGAGAACTTTGACCGAAAGAGAATTTCATTACCTTATTCAACTTGGATACAATGTTCTTTTCCAAGTAAAAGTCAAATATGCAATCTCACAAGATTCCTAACCATATTTTAGTCACAAAACCTAACAATCTCCACATTGGCTCAAATTTCGGTATAACGAGCAGAGCTCCAAAAAATTTCTCCACCTGAGAAATAAAATCGTTTGCATCAAAATGAAATGCCCAATCTCTTCACACAATAATCAAAACTATATATATAAATCATCGTTCTCTACACGGTGTCCACTAGCGACACCTAAACCCTACTCCAAGGTTTCCAAAATTCCACCAAGAAATTAATGTTTACCAAACAAGAGTCGAAGCACACCATGTAGCGAAAACCATACAAAATGCATGAACAGAAGCCTCATTGCTAGAACTATTGCTTTCAGCATCCCAAAAAATATTACAGACATCATTGACACCATGGTATCTATGCTCAATGGATCTAACTTAGTAACTGAACACAGTGCAACCACTGAAATTAGTGACAAAGAGGAATCACCAACGCTCCCTCGAGCAATGCTCCGAACCAACCCAAAACCCGTCACAAGAGGTACTGTACCAAATTGAATATTCTCAATGATACTAAACTTGTTCAAATGTCTTTTAACTAGTTCAGCGCTCCCCTACAAGATGTACAACTAAGACCTCCTTCGTCCCTCTAGTATAATTCAGATACCCTTTCTGACCTTCAAGACTCCACCTCCACCAGAAAATTTATACCCTTTTGCATCCAGATGTACATAGAGGAACATTTTATTTTGAAGAATGTGTAGTAAAAAAATAAAAATCGATTTTTCGTTTAAATTTATTTTATTGAAGAATTTGTAGTTAAAAATTTGTTTTTAATAAAATGGGATTCGAATGAGGGCTAAATAAAGGAGGGATACTATTTTAAATTTCACAATTCTTAGTGTTCCATTGTTCTTCCAGTTAAAAATGTTGTATCACCTACTATGAATTGTTGACATATCGAATAACATAATAGTAGACATTTTTAAAGAATTAATAATTTTTTTCCGTCTGTTATTTTGTTATACTGTAAAACATTTCAAGTATAAAAATTTGACGATTAATTTATACGTTATTTTTTTTATTTCAAAATTATTATTGTATAGAATTTTTTCCCCAAGCTCCTTTTATTGGGGGAAAAGGTACAATTTTGGTAGAAAAGGGTTGTTACCAATATCAAATTTATTACGTAAGGGTACATTTGATTGTATAAAATTTGCATAGAAAGAAAATAAATTTTCGACAATTCAATTGACTAGAACTTATTTGTATGGAAATTATTAATTTAATGTGTTTGATTAATTTAGTTTTCAACCTAAAAAATATCATATTTGTCTATTTTTTAGTAGTGGATAGATGAGAGAGAGAGAGAGAGAAATCCCTAAAAAAATAAAATCTTACTCTTCTTAAAATAATTTTTTTTCTTGATTTTGAGAAAAATGTAATCATGTGACTAATAGTAAGAAAACATTTTTCATAGAAAAAAAGTTAATCAAATAACACAAAAGTGAAATTTTTTTTGTTAAAAAACAAAATTTTCATAAAAAATATTGACAATCAAACGCACCCTAATAAATAAATTGTTTCAGCTTTCAAATATGTTTTAGTACCATATTATTGAAAAACTTCCTATCCACCCACAACGTGTCTAATGCACATTTATTCAGATTCTCGTGTGTTGTAGTCATTGAAGTCTTGAATGAGGTTTTTATCCACAAAAGACAAAATTTTCTTGGTAGTTCATTTTATTAGACACGTTGATGGACTTTGTTTAGATAAAACTTCACTTGAAATACATGTAAAACTTCATTGTTTGTGCTCAACTCGTTTCGATTTCATTACGTTCCTATTAATGTATATTGGTAGAGTTAGGACTCGAATCAGTCGAGGTCTAATTTAACTATTATTTTTTTATAATCAAAATCTAATAATATTAAAAATAAAATGTCAAAGATCGGCATATAATTTTTTTTCCTCAATTTTCAGTGGGGCCCAAGCCCCCTCGATCATCACTGATTGTGTAAATAATCGTTATTGTTGAATAACTATTAAAATTATAGGACCTTGTTTGGTACCGATTAAAATCTAGATTTTGATTTAAGTCAAAATTAAAAATAATTTTTAATACATATCTTATGAAACCTACAACTTTTTCAACCACACATTTCATCAAATTTTGTCAAAATTTAATAAAATTCTAATTTTAATCTCTAGACTATATATGATTATAAGCTAGTTAATTATGAATGGAGCAAGGCCCATATGGGCAGTTGAAATCTTGTCCGTAATTTTCTCTTTTTAAAAAAATAAGAATAAACTGTGGCCCAAACATGACCAATAAAATGGTAAAACTCACTTATTTAACAATTTTGTAATTTATTAGTCTATAAAAGGATGTTTGCCATAACTCTATGAACCAATCATAACATAACACGTGGAATTAGGTCTGCAATACCTTAACTTATTAGTGAAGAACTCTCCCTATAAATAGCCATGCAAAAAAGAAAAAAAAATTAAAAATGGTATGCATTCTTTAAATTCTAGTCAAATCTCTACTTATTTATTTCTCTCACACGCAACTCTTCATAAATTTTGTAAGGTAGCTGAATTGATTGTTACAGTGCCAACGGTTGATCCTATTTTGAATTTGATACCTTGGTGCCTAACGATTTTTATCCGAGTGTAAAACACATACAAGTAAACATTGACATAGTAATATATCTGTTAAGATTTGAAAATTTTTAAGTTAAAAATAAAGATAATGTGACGAATTAAAAATCTTTTGAAAGCAATTATGTGTTATAGCCACCTCATATCTCGCGTTCATAACCGAATTTATTCATTAACACCTTAAAATATCATTTAAGAGTTGAAAATGTTGTAGAAAAAATTCAAATGAGGAGCCAGATCTATTATTTAAAATTTGTCAATAGACTCGATTAAAAATACTTTAACATGTACGTATAAGTTGCCAAAATGGACCCTTCCAAGTTCCAAGTCTATCCATTCTACTCTTACCAACCAAATAAGATTTTTGTCCTAACTATTCCAACTAGTAGACTATTTATGAAACAAAGTGTAGAGATCTGGGTAAGACCACATTCAATATATTTCTGATTTGGGATTGATAGTTCGAGATTGATCGAGAAGTCTCTCTTATTTATAGGTCGTCAATTTATTTATTTAAAAAAAAAAAAAAGATCCAAAAGATATAAGGTTAAATTCATTGACAATACCATGTACCAAACAAGTTTTATACGAAGAACTTCCACAGCCTGTGGATTATAAATCTTCACGACGTTCATCTTATCCTCTGTGGTCTCCTCATTTCATCGTCCATCAATTACAGACATATGATTGGCTGTGAAGGCTGCCTGAAAATATCTTTCAAAAAATGCCAAAATAAGGTAAAAATTTCTTCACCATAATAACTCAGTCAGCCCCGCTACAGTGACAGGGATGGAGACAGGGGTTGAGGTGACATCACCTCAGCCCCAGATCTGAAATTCATTTTTTTTTGGCTATTCAGATCAATGGCCAAGGTGCAAACACCTCGGCTTTGCACCTCGGCTTCTGTCACCAGGGCCTGTCACTTGGCCCTGGCCAAGTAGAATAATTCTAACTCAGTGGCCTTATCAGTGCGCATTGTAGAACAGTGTGTATGAATGAATAGGGCTAGATAAAACTCCCGAACCGAACCCGACGGTTCTTCTCAAGTTAAATACCCGAACGTGTATTTGAATCAGGAATCGACGGGTATTGTTCGGTTCTCGGTTCTAGGCCAAGACCCGAAAAATCGAATAAGAGTCGAATCTCCGTAATTTTTTTAATTAATTTATTTTAAATAAGTAAAATTATTTTATTTTTTCTAAATAAATTTGTTAACTAGTTAATTTAGTTCAAACCACAAAATATGATTTTCCAATTTCTAATATTCAGTTCAAAATCGACTTAATCAAATTGACCTCAATTTTATCCAAATCTATTATTCTACTGTAGTGTCTTTTCTACCGGAGAAAATCGAATTAAAACTCTACAACATCTCTCTTAATTATTTTGAGCTCGCTATCTTTCTCTTTCTGTGATTTTAATAATCAAATTTATGAAGAATTCAGCAAAGAAAGACGTGAAACACATAAGATTAAACTACATTATTTTGTAAGAGCTAATATTAAATATATCATTAATTAAATTAACGTAACTTTGTATATATTAAAAAATTTAATTATAATACGGAACCAAATGGAACCGAACCGGACCGAACCGAATCGAATGGAACCGAACCCGAACGGTTCAACTTACTAAATACCCGAAAATTTCGGGTCGAAAACCGAACCGAACCGAACCGGACCATGTCCAGCCCTATGAATGAATGTAGGAACAAACTGAACGGACTAGCAAAAAAATATTCATGTAGCCAACTCCAAAATTATTGAAAATAAGACTTGGTTAGATATTCATGAGTCGAGATTACTTCTGCAGATACAGCTACTATTATAAGCCAACAATTAAAGATTATGGTTTTTTTCCAGGCTTCATAAAATGTTGCCAGTTTAAGAAGAAATTGTTCGCCTCAACTGATTCTCAGAAGAATATGTAATAAAACCTAATTTTTGCCGTCGACTTCTCCATTAATGTATCAAAAACTTGCATCTTCCGTGGTCGGTCTCCTCAAGAAGTACCGTAAACTATTCGCAAGTACCTGCAAGGTTTTAGGAAATCAATTATTGCAAATTGTGATAAAGTTGATATATCAGCATTATTGGCTGAACTTAAAGTAGGGGAAGGAAGGGAACGGGAGGAAGGAATTCGTACTGAAAATCCATAAGATAAAAAATCAAAATGGAAAACCTCATAAAACATGCATGGCAAAAGAAGTTCTTAAAAGTAGCTTTTAAGCTCAGGAAACACGCTCAAAGATTACTATCACTTCTACTATTACGAAAGCTTGACATACCTGTTGAAGGGGCTTGCTGATAGCTTTACCCCTGTACCTTACATGGAACTTCGACTTAGCCAACAAACCCTAAAAACCAACAGGAAAAGCTTTTCAGAAGCGAAACAAGATATTATTCCCATGGTAATGTCGACCATATTGAAGTAAACGAGGCAATAGTCTATCGAGATCAAGTCATTACCTCTGTATCAAACTCTCCTGATTCGACAGCAATGTTTATATCAGTAATAATCTTCACAAGATCAACCAGTAATCCAGGACGATCTACTGTCTCCACATATAGTAAGCTGCAATATTGCATCAATTATGCATTAACCCTCCAAATAATAAGCTTTATTACGAGTCATTACACCACTCAGCAGCTATCTATGAGCCTGTTTGAGCTCCATTAACAGGCTAAGAATGCAATTCGGAATAGTAGATTGATGGAAAATGTATAGTTAAAAATAAGGAAAAATTTTAGAATTTTGCTTAATATTATTTTATTGAAGAACGTGTAATTGAAAAGAAGAGGGAAAAATTTATTTTTAAAATAACGAGGATCAAACAAGGGCTATATATGCTTAGTTCATGATAAACAAGCCCAAGGAATTATTACGTATTTTACCTTCGTTCAGGACCATCATCTTTAACATTGATATGGGTTGCTATATCCACATCAACCTGCAGGAAAAAATAGTGATTAAATAAGGAAAAAGACAATAATATTCTCTCTGTTAAAAACTTGTCTCATTTCTCCATGTGATGGACTTTGGTCGAACCAGATAATGTTTTGGGATCATCCAAATTCTACACATATATGGCTCATTTGTCAGCGTGAAGTCCATCCTGTTCAATACTAAATAATTCCAGCTTGACTAATTAATCCAACTGACCAATATCAAACAAGCTCTCGTTATGTTTTCTTATATTTATATATATGTATAAGCAGAATAAATGGGCCAAGATTATAATACAGCTCAATAGACACATCTGTAAGAGAGAGAGAGAGAGAGAGAATAAATAATGAATGAGTTTATACCGTCTGATTTGGTGGCAGAACACCAAATGCAGCACCCATTGCCAACTGAGCACTTGACTCCTGAAAAACCCAATTCAACATCTCTAAGAAAGTTGCACGGAGCGGAAAGCCATTACAGATTTATGTAATGAAAAACGGTCAGGAAAAAAATAATAATAATCAGGAATAATACCGGATGATACTGAAGCAGGTTGTTAATGATTGTCAAACGAATTGCCTCCAGCAACTCGGGTTCCTCCACCTTTCTACCTGTAGAACTGGACACCAGCCCACCATCACAGTAACAAATGTCACCCCACAACATTCCATAAGCTGATATGACTGAAAAGTTTTAGGGATCCTTCTAGTATGGGGGACACTAATTTGACACACAAATTGGTGAGTACATAATGTGTCAAGAAATTCTAGGGATTCCTGAAATTTTTGGGGACTGGGGAGAAATAAACTACACAGATTAAGGTTATGAAATAAAAATGGATCTAAATTCAAGTAATCTAAAAAACAGAGAATTGAACCACATAGTTCTACAAATGAAGAAAATAGGATAATTAAATAGAATTACTAAATACAAGAATGACTCAAATAGGAAAGAATCTAGAAGATAAACTTACGCTTTAGTAATAGCAAACTTGTTGTGCTTGCCAGATGAATCGAGGTAGACGTTTCCCTTGATGACATTCAATCCGAGATTTTTAAGCGCCTTCATCTAAAATACATTCCAGAACAGTTATATAATGGATATGGCGTATATTCTGCCAAACTAGTGCAAATAACCAAATATAGATTATTTGAAATCCAACAAAACAAGATTGAGTGACTGAAAAAGGAAACAGTATAATGTCATACGGTGTCCAAAAGGGCGCCAAGGCGATCTCCAAAGGTAATTTCCACAACGGTGGCATCAGAGTCTGAATCTTGATCTATTATAACTACGGGGGTAGGAACCGTACCAGTTTCCTGAGAATTTTCCCCCTGTTTGTGCATTACAACAATCAACAAGAATATGTGCTAATAACAAGTATATATATTAGAGTAATGTTATTTAACACCACTAATGCTAAACACACCCGTCTAGGTGGATGTGGCATTACATGAGAATTACAGTAAAATAAGTCATTTAATTCCAACTTTCATTGAGTCTCTCACATAGTACCACCTAGACCGGTGCCATAACAACAATAATGCTAATGAGCAGAATATACTATATTGATGAACAGAATTTGATACCTCGACAGCAGTTGGGGGAGATGCTTTTGGTATGTTCAGACTTGTTAAAAGTGATGATCTGGTGCACAGGAAATATGTATGATTAAGACAAAATGAAAATCCAGTAAAAACACTTCTAACAATTGATGAGTTTATTTCACTCATGAATTTTGCACAATTTTAGCTTGATTATTTACTAGATTTTGTGAGAATAGAAAGTTTTTGATGTGTTTGTTAATGTTGTTTTGAAAATTAGGAAATGCGATGCAAAAAAAGGAACTAAAGCAGACGAATAGACCAAAAATAAGGAAATTGGAGCAGAATGACAACTCCTAGGCACTGCATATGTAGCACTTAGGCGCTACGAAACTTTAAAAAAAAACTGAAATTTGAACCCGAGAGGCAGCGTCTAGACGCTGCATTTAAAATTGATGCGGCGCTTAGGCGTTGCGCCGGGATTGTTTAGGGCGCGTTTTTAGGCCTTTTGAAATCCATAAAAACCATACTTTCTACACAAACAGACCTGTAAATACATCTTTCTCACATTTTTGAGGAATTCTTCACACATTGATAGGCAAGATAACATAATTGGAGAATCTAAAGAGAAGAATTCAAAAGAACAAAACAACAAGCAATTCAAGGGTTAAAGCATAAATTGGAAGGGAAAGAAGATCTTGGTGAAAGATTGATTCTTATTCTACATTCTTATTCAAAACCTGGTCATGTCTTCCATAATAACTTTTTGTTTTTCTTTCATTACTATGAGTAGCTAATCTGATTTTAGGAACAAACAATATAACTAATTTGGGAACATTTATTTCTTTTATTTGAGATTTTTGTTGGTTATAATTACATGTGTGGATTTAATCATGTTCTTAATGCTTTGAATTTTCTGGCCAATTATTCCATGATTTCGTGAACAATAATTGCGTAGAAATGCGGATTCTTGTTTAGATCACATATTAAAATCGAGTAAATTAATATAATGTGTAGAGATACATAGATTAATTGCTGCGGTCCTATATGAATTCTTAGAACTATTATTTCGTTTAAATAATGTTGATTCGCATAAAGATATGAAATTGAATTATTTAAATAGGTTTAATGAGAACTTGAGAGGGGTAAATTGAATACCATAGAATAATTCGACCGAACACTACTTTAGATTTTATGAATCTTGATATTATAAATAAAGGTGACCAATAGATGAAGTTGTTCCGCCCTAATATCCATTTATTATTTAAGTTCTCACTCATTTTCTGTTGCACTCACGAACTTTTAAGTAGTTAGGTGGTACGATAGGTTAAGTTACAGCTAGGCCTCAATTTAAAGAAAACTGTTAGAGAGAGAGCATTTTTTTATGTATAGGAAAAGGGTATTAGTAATCAAAGTACAGTGAATAACTGATAATAAACACGTGATCCATTGATGAGCAAATTAACAAAAAATCAAATCTTGTACAGGAATGATAATTAAACTTATTAATTTCAATCAACAAATCTAACATTGTAATATTAGATAATGCAGTAAATTAATAGAAAATCAAAAAATTAAAGAGCCAACAATAAAAATTAAATATCTCTGTGTTGAAACTAAGAGAATAGAGGAAGAATTGTGAATAACTTCTGTATTCTATGATAAATAAAACTGTACAAGAGCCCTCCTTTTATAGGTGAATGAGGCAAGCATATAAGATAAGTAATTAATGTTAATTACACAAATCATGCTCTAATTATACAATTACATAAATCATGGAGATTGACCAAATCATAGAGATTTGTCAATCAATATGATTAGGGAGATATGCTAACATCCCCTTCAAACTCAAAGTGGTATTGAAGATGCCAACTGAAATTTGCAAACTAAAGAACGATGGCAACCAGGTGGATCGGCCTTTGTGAAGATATCGGTCAGTTAATCAGCCAAAGGAACTGACAAGAGGCAAAGTGTCCCTTCCTGAAGATGATGATGCACAAAATGACAGTCGATCTCAATATATTTTGTGCGTTCATGAAAGACATCATTATGAGCAATGTGGATAGCACTAATTATCACAATAAAGCGGAGTGCTAGAGGACTGAGGAACACCCATATCTTGGAGAAGCCAACGAAGCCAAAGAAGTTCAGAAGTAGTGTCAGCAAGGGCTCGATACTCAGCCTTAGTGCTAGAGCGAGCAACAACGGTCTGCTTTTTGCTCCGCCAAGATATAAGGGAGCCACCAAGTAAAAAAAGAAAACCAGTGGTAGATCGGCGATCAGTAGGGTCCCCTGCCCAATCAGCATCAGAGTAAACCTTCAACGTCAAGGATGAGTGAGAGGAAAAGTGAAGCCCATGAAATAACGTTCCCTTCACATAGCGTAAGATGCGAAGAACAGCTGCAAGGTGAATGGAACAAGGAGCTGACATAAATTGGCTAACAAGATGCACTACATATGCAATGTCTAGTCTAGTGACGGTAAGATAAATCAAGCTCCCAACAAGCTGTCGGTAATGAGTGGCATCAGGAAGGAGCTCCCTATCAATAGGACGAAGTTTGATGTTGGGCTCCAGTGGACTATCAGCTATCTTACAATATGTGAGACCAGCACGGGTGAGAAGATCAGAAGCACACTTGGCTTGGGTTAAAGAGTAGCCATCAGAGGTAGGGGACACCTCTAAGTCGAGGAAGTAGCTAAGAGAACCAAGGTTTTTCATCTCAAAACGTTAACACAAAAACTGCTTAAGCTCATGAATACCAGAATTATCATAACCAGTAATGATCATATCATCAACATAAAGTAGTAGAATAGTGTTGC